CCCCAAAACCCCAAAACCCCAAAACCCCAAGAGAAAGATTTTTTCAGCTAGAAAATGGGGCAATTTAATTATATTAGTATAAATGAGAATCACAGAAAGAATATCTTACATCTTAGGTACGATATATTGCTTGGCTCTTTTCATAAAGATGCCAGAGTTACATCAACTACTCTATTTCACCAATATAATCTCTATATTCTTTGGATTATGGTATGAAGGAATCAGAATGTGCTAGTTTCCCAACGTCATTAGCATTCTATTTGTATCTAGCATCTTGGAGTTATATAGAAAGTACTTTTTGCTCAAAATTATCAATGTTATCTTGTTTTCAATAAGTTTGATTGGCTTTTTCATGTTTGGAGACTACTAATTTGAGAGGTATCCAAAAGGATTCGATCCTTACAGAGTTGGATTCAAAAAAATTAAGTCTGATAAGAATGGTAACACAGTGGGAGTGTTTTACCCCATTGACATTGCTTATTATGAGAAACATAAAAATGATAAGAAGTTCTATAAACTTGATAGAAGCGTCTACAGTGAGCTAATGAAAGGATTTAGTAATTTATTTCAACTAGGATAGAAAGAAACTAAAGAGATCTCCAGTTTGGTTATGAGACCTATGATGAATCATACACTAGATATCATTGAAAATGCTCCTCTAGCTGCACCATTTTTAAACAGAGAAAAAGAACTCATCCCAATTGTTTTCTCTCATTCACTTGGAGGCTATCATATGTCTTAAACAATGACAATGATGGATTATGCAAAGCATGGTTACATTGTGTTTGGTCCTGACCATCAAGATGGATCTTGCTTAATGACTTTTGATAAAGATGGCAAAGTGATACTTTTTGATAATAAGCATAAGATTGCTGAAAAACCAATTAGAGTTTAGTAATTGAATAGAAGAGTCGAGGAAATTATTACTTTTATGGACGAACTATTATAATAAAACATTGTTGAGAAGAAACTTGGATTTCTAGATATCAAGTTTGCAACTGATAAACTTATCATTAGTGGAATGTCATTTGGAGGTATTACAGCTTTGAAGGTAGCTCAAAAAGATATGAGACCAAGAGCAGTTTTAGTCTTTGATCCTTGGCTGTTTCCTTGCTTTGAAGAAATATATGGAGGAGGTGTAAAAATCTTCTAGCCAATCCAAGTAATTTTCACTGAGTATTTTCCAAAATTCACTCATCCACTTGATATCTTTGGATGCATGAAAAAGCTTTTGGATGATAGCATGAATCTTAAGAATGAAGTTTTGATACTTAAAACAGGGTATCACACAGATATCGTTGATTATGTTCTGTTTTAGAATTTGGAATTTACTTTAATTGAGAAAAGAGAGTTATATTTTGACAGACATGATATATACTTTACAGCTAATTAATTAGCATTACACTACTTAGCTAAGTTGGATAATGCTACATCTCATTCTGCTATAGAAATTCTAAAGTAATTAGACTTCAGATTTAAGAAATATGTGAAATATGATCTTGAATATGATCCTAGCAAGCCACTCGATCAAAATTAGAAAGATATAGACGAGTAGGAAGCTAAAATCATTAAGCCTCACGTGATATACCCTAAATAATGACAAACTTTAATTTCTTGATTAATATTTTAGAGTAAGTTTATATAGATTGCTTAATTATGGGGTTTTGGGGTTTTGGGGTTTTGGGG